TTTATATATTATGTTTTTAAAATAAATTTTATATATTATATCAGTTCATCTTTACGGTGTAAATAGTTGCTATACTTGAGTTAGACTGGCCATATACCAGTAGAATTATGTTCCAACTTTTGTTGAGATTTCTGCAAAATCGCTTATCAGACCATCCAGTCTCACCATCATTAAGTTAAATCACTGTCACGATCTGGGATCAGGCTCAGAGTCCAGTAGCTGAAACAGCAGGCAAAGTCGTAATTAAACAGGCCAGGTTCGGTACACAAGCAGACGGTAGTAGTATAGGAGCTGGCAGAAGAGTAGTCAGCGAACAAGCCGAGGTCAATGAAGTTCAAGGGAGGAGGAAGGAGTTTAGAGTTCAGTAGAAACTAGGTTTAACTGAGGATTACATAGGAGATCGGGCAAGGAGCTATCCAAGGTTCTAAGGTGGCTCAGCAGGTAGAACCACTGCCAGCTAAAGTAGAGGCTCTGGGTTCAGATCCGGTTCCTAACACTAACTTAGTTCAACTTCAAATGCTCTTAAATATGGGGTCCAGACCTGCTACATGAATGGAATCCTAGATGCATTAAACATGTTTTCTTGTGCCCAGCACATCCGCATTACAATATGTATAATTTTTCCCAAATGTAAATTACATTCAGTGTTGGAATTTTGTTGGTTAAGATAAGAAATGAAAAAATTCTTGAATTTTCTCATCGCTAGGGTCAAAAACAAACATCGATTATACTACACTAACCCCTAAAAAATAGAATTTTCTGAAAATAAAAAGTATTGAATGAAATTCTACTGATGTATGCTGCAAGTCACTTCAATATATGAGCACAATTTCCATTTAAACTGTGTAGTGTGGGTGACCACTAGGAGGCTGTGTATTACCCGCTTTATGTTACTTTGGCTGCAGCAGGTCCTATTGAGATCCATTCTGCTGTAGGTTACACCAGGTCAAACGCAGCTGCTGCACCCAAAGCATTGTTCCCTGCATACCTTCCAATTTTCAGAGGTGAGAAAGAGGGACATCTTTTAGCACAAATATGTATACAGCAGATATAGTTCTGCCATGCCCCCCAGTTACACAGATTATGGCAAATTATAAAACAACAAAGCAGTTGTGTAAAACCACCAAAGCTCTTTTTCCATCATGTATATTCAGACTATTCAAATGATGAATGCAGTAAATTAGAGTTTGAAATCTTAAAGATTTAGCGTGGTATAACACTTTTGTTAGTGTAATAGTAATTTTTTTTTAAAGAGATCTATACCTCAGACCAAAAAGAGGGACAAAGGAGAAGGAAAGAGGGACTTGGTTCTAAAAGTGGGACAGTTCCCACTCTCTATGAGTGAGCTCGGGTTTGGTCTGAACATGAGTTTGTCTGAACCCAGAAGGAAGCCAACATTTCCTGCCCAATCAACTGCGGCCAGGGTATTCTTCTCCCCGCAGCTGCATGTAAACAAATGGGGCCTGACATCATTGACCTTATATGGCCACATGACCATATTTGTTAATGAAATATAAGCACATTAAACTTCAGCTTTAAGTATATTTGGTGATTAGTTGAACTAAATGCTGGGGAATTTTTTTATTGTTCAAATCATTTTGTCATCAAGACCAGATTGTTTCTTTAAATTGCAAGTCAAATAAAATAAAATGTCCCTTTGTAATACAGTGGCTGTTTCCGTCCACGGATAGCGATCTCTTCCTAACCACATGTAATTGTATCACATACGATTACATGCAGTCTGTCAGCATTCTGCCGCTTTCAGATGCAGCCGCTGTCACCCAATCATTAACTTGAATGGGTGACAGCTGCCACTTTTCAATGGCAGGTTAGGTATTCCTGCTGCAGAAAATCCTAAAATATAGGTGTGAATGTAGCCTCAATTTTGCAGCATTTTCTACAGGTTCCTTAAGATCATTTGATAGATCAAAGCACATCACATACTGATAAATTGTTGAACCTTTGCTATGAGGCAATATCCCATTAGGGATCCCATACAGTAAGTTATAGAGGATTGGACTTTTCACAGACTGTTCACTTGCACATAAATTAAGTCACCCAGGTGGGTGACTACCAATCCTTCAAACGAAAATGTTCAGAGTCTTATTGGATGAGATGATGGCTTGTTTTAGGCAGCAAGGGTTAAATCTTTAGCGATGGTCAATCAGTGACAGTCCTTTTGTTACATCCAGGAAGTTTTCTCCAGACTCTTCCTTCTCTCTCTCCGTCCCCTTCTGGAAGTCTCTCATGGTATTTTATATGGTTGGGAAGCATTGTTCGTATTGACGACTCCCAAGCCACTATTTGCTTTCTTCCTATTGATCGGTTCAGAAATGGTAGTTGATTGGTTATTTCACTCATATCGTCTGCGCTCAGTTGAGTAAGCCTTGGATGTGTTTGAGAACTTACTCAACCTTAGACAATAATCATAGGTGATATCAATCTTGAAACAATAGGGCGAATTAGCTGTCTTGGAGTTTTTATGTTTCTTGGTTAATTTTTCATATGGGGCAAAGATATCCTTATTCTGGGTCTTTCTTGTTTAATTTCTTTTATTTACTGACCTTGAAGTCTTAAAGGTCTTTCAGCATTGTCAATTGTGATTACATGGTTACTCAAATCTTAGACTTCATTTGCAATGTTTATCTCTTTGAATTTAGTTGGTTAGTACAATAGCTGGTTCCTCAAGGGAATTGTTTGTGTCTTGCTTAATTTGTACACAATAGGCTATTTTGGTTGATTAACTTATCTGTCCGGCACAGACTTCTGGACCCTTGCACAGAAAAGTTTGATTTAGTTTCTGTACAAGTCATAGTTCATCAGTTTTTGTAATTTTATATAGAAATACCCTGACAACACATGGCAAAATATACAGCAGTGAAATCTAGAAGTGTTCAAATCAGACTTAGGCTGTTTGGAGACAATTATTTTATCTTCTGTCTTTCTCCACTATATTTTTTTTAGGTCAGAGACAAGATATGGAGTGGGAATAACATTGCATACAGTAGATTTCTATGACAGACTAGAGCAGACGCATCAAATTCACAGCCCATGCACATTTTCCAAGCAGCCCTCTATAGGTTTCCTTTATCCACTGATGATGGGCACAGCGGTGGATGTGTCTCTACAATGAAGGTTGCAGTGGGCAGGCAGGAGACATGGCTGAGACATGGCTGAGGTTGACAGATGATAGACAGGCACACACAATAGTCAGCATGGCCATGGATCTGGGCAGGGAGTAATAGGTTGATGGGCAGGCACGGTAATTGGTGTGGCTGCAGCTGTAGTGTGATGCTGGCTAGAGTGGGCCTTTGCATGCAAGATTGTGTCGTTTGGGTGAAGATGGTGGGCAGTGCATTTGAGCTTAAGAATGCCAAGTACATACGCTCATCCAGGGCCACTGTATTTAGACAATATGCCTTTTTGTAAAAACTCTGCCTCTTGTGTTTTGTGATTATTGAATGGTGATAGTTTAATTCTTCCTGAACTATAAGGAACCTTCCATCATCCCCTACACCCCCTTCTATCAGCTATTTTTACCAAATCTAACCAGAATTTTGTAAAATTTAGTAAACCGAAGAGGGAAGCCCAGTGAGGAAAAAGTCACAATGATTTGTAAACGTTGAGGTTTGGTCGCTTCCACCTATTAATCCTGTTCCCCTAGGCACTGGCCCATGGGTGGCTTATAATAAATACACCCCTGCACTCCACTTGCTGGATACTTTGTATTGAATTTGTATACAGTCCAGTTCTCCCCAATTTGGCAATCAGAAGAGGAATGGGCCATGTAGATAATTCCTGGGCCAATAATTGTGCCTTCTACTATTAATAGTGCTCACTATCTCCATTTAGATTATACATTTCCTGTCTGTGCGACATGGCTAACCCTTCCCATTGAGAACAAAGGAAGGGATGGTTTTAATTGCAATGACCCAATTTTACTAGCTGGCAAGTTACAGAGAAGAACGTGCCAGGTTCAAGCGGGTTTGAGGGTTGGACCGTCTGTTTTTCTCTATGAGACATCTGCCTGTATATAGCCTTAGGCATGATATTTATGTAAAAGGTGTCAGGAAAGATGTTCCTAGTGTGTTGTGCAACATACTGTATCTTCTACAAACTAAACAGTCACTCTGTATACAAACATCACTACGCCGTCTAGCCTCTGCTAATCTCTGAATAAGATTTTGCAACAATTTATCTGATACGTGAAACAGATCTCAGAAGGGCAGAATAAAAGTAACTTTACATCACCAGCTCAATCAAGATCATTGATCCCTGAAGGAAGGATTTACTGCTAAGGTGCTGACTCACACATACACAGACATCATTTGACAATTTAACATTGTTAACAGGTTTCTATGGCAGATGTCCAGATATTTCGTCCTTAAAGTCAAACTTGGGGCAGCTGAAGAAATGACTCTTGCAGTAGTGTGCCCCCTCCCCCCTCCATCCCTGGTAATGCAGCGGTTAAAATCTTGTTTAGTCCAGGGAGATAGAAACCAGCAGCAGCACATACCTTATTGCCGTAGGCCTTTTCCATGCTGCCCAACCGGTCCCCTGAAGTTGCTTCCCCCACTGTTCCAAATGCCGCAGATTCTTCAACTTCATCATGTACAATGCAGGACCAGCAGACCTGCATTGTACGTGAAGAAAGTGATGACCTGCCCACAATTCAGAACATCTGAGAGGTGAAAAGCGGTTTTCTGTTTTTTTTATTTTTAAAAAAGCATAAGTTCTTTTATTTTGGATACAGTGGGGAAGGGTTAGAACCTTTGTCACGCTCTTATTTCTGTTTGATGAGAGTCTCTAT